CTTCTGTAGAGGCCGGATACATTTTTACAAATGCTAATGTTGTTGATTCACTCATCTGTTTTCACCTAAAACCTGGCCAAGGCATTTAAAGAACAGAGGAAGGAATGCAAGCCTACATTAGAGAGAGCTATTTTCTCGACAATGGAAGGACACCTTGGTACCACATCAGGAAAGAAAACCTGACACCAGGTTTAAATATGTATCTTTAGAAAACAGTTGATACTGCAGCTTTCTCTTCTTCATTATATTAAATGCTCAAGTAATTATCAGCTTCTCCTGTAGTTTCCTCATTACAATGGCAGACATGGATTTTATTAAGTAGCTACAGCATGCCCCCAATTCAGGGATGACACTCCTTCACTGATCAGCCTCCAGTAATGACGTGCAGAGAAAGATGTGTGCTTACCCATCACCTTGGCACATGGGCCTCCTGGCTTTATCCTGAATTATTGTCTTTTCATGCATTCTTCACTTCCTTAGTTATAAGATAATAAAGCAATCCTACCATATTTACTAATTCAGGGACTCTTGTTAAAGGACAAATCTTAGCAGGTAGTTGCTGTAGGGAGCTACCGTCTGCATTTACAGAGTCAGAATTAGGAGCCTCCTCAATGGGACTCTCACTTGCCAGCATCAGCCTATGTGCCAGGAGCAGTTCCCTGCGGCTGCGTTACTCCTGTGAGTAGAGAATCAGACAGCCCTGCTTTTCAGTCCCATGAGGCTCACGGTTTTGGCTTAGAAATCCCCCAGTAAAACACAGAATCATAGAATCCCAGACTGGTTAGGGTTGGAAGGGACCTTAAAGCTCATCCAGTTCCAACCCCCCTGCCAGCAGCAGGGACACCTTCCACTAGACCAGGTTGCTCAAAGCCTCATCCAACCTGGCCGAGAACACTTCCAGGGAGGAGCAGCCACAGCTTCTCTGGCCAACCTGGGCCAGGGTCTTAACACCCTCACAGTTAAGAATTTCTTCCTAATATCTAATCTAACCCTCCCCTCTTCCAGTTTAAAGCCATTTCCCCTTGTTCTATCACTACCTGCCCTTATAAAAACTCCCTCCCCATGCCTAGCAAGTCTTCATCTCCAGCCAGTGGGCTCCTCTGCTCCACCCCATCTGCCCTGGGCAGCCGGTCCCGGCTTCCTCCCTCTAAATCACGACCATCAATCTTCCCTGAGTCTTGGCTCCTACCGTGATTCTTGTGCCCTGTCCGTCCCAGTCTCCTTCTTCCCCTGAGCTCCTGTAGTCCCATGGGGGACTACATCTGCATGGACAGCACAGGGTGAGGCAGGCAGAAGTACAGAAGTCCCTAAGCAGCTTTAAAGCAGCCACCTCAGGTGGCAGTTGCTTCCTAGCTTATGCTGAACTCCATGAGGTTCCAGCTGGTTTTCTGACCCCACAAGCCCCCCAGGTCTCCAGAGCAGTACTCTCCTTCCTACGTGTCTTGACTCAGTCTTCCCTACCAGGCTCCCCATCCACATCACGACTCAGTTTCCCAAGTCTGGTTCCCTGCCTACTCTCTCCCCTCAGCTCGTTCCTTATTTCCTTGCTTAGACAAGGTCCAATTCTCTCTTTCTTCACCTTTAAACCTCTCTCAGTTTGATATTCACACTCAGCTAGTTCCTTCCCTCTTGTGTTAGTTAATCTTTCAATGTGCATAAAGGCAGTGGGGAGATCAGGGAGAAGGAGATTGCTGTATCTTCAGTGGTTAAGCAGAAACCTTCATTCTCCAAGGCTCTCTGGCCAGCACCATGCATCCACACTCCACCCTCCCATGTTGAAACATCCAGAAGAATAATGAGTAGCAGAGGGCCCCCCAAGCCTTGTAGCTAACAGCTGGAGGCAGGTTGCATTGATGATGCACATCAAACATGGTAAAAATAAAGTATATGGAGTGCCAGGCTATGTATCATAGAATATTTGTATAATTTCTCATAGGCAGCATTTACTCCAGAGCCACGCTCATGAAATGCAAAGAACTAAGTTACTGTAGGGCATTCTCCTTGTCCCTCCCATATTTCCCTGTATTTTATTTAGGGCTGGTCCTGGCTGGTGCCAGGGAAGTAGCAGAGAACTGATCATCATCTTACAGGACCTGACCATTGGACTGCAAGCTCCTGTTAGCAGAGAGGGATTAGTTCTTCCCTTGTTTCTTGTTCTGTATTGAATGTTCACTTGGCACTAAGAAAGGACAAGAATATACTTGAAATCTGGTGGCAGAGTTCAACCTTTAACATTATAGAGGATTGTAAAATACTGATATTGAACACTGGTACTGCAGGGAAGGCAAAGCGGCTGCAAATCAGGAAGTTTCCAGTTTGTGCTTTCAGCTTAGAAGAACAGGAATTTTTAATCATCTTGCTGTGCACATAAAATTCACAAGGGGTTGTGTGAATGTACATTTCCCTGAATAAGAGAAACAACCCTCACATGGAAAAAGACTTCTCTCTAAGGGCTATTTCCATGGTAACTTGTAAATTCAGAGTTCAAGTTGTTTTGGCTGCAGGGATACTCAGAAAAGGTAACAGGACTGTTTGTTGTTCTTAATAATGGGAAACCATCATCATTGTCCTCTCATGCAAAACAGGCTGGATTGTTTTTGTTTAAAACTTCCCCACAGCTGGCAAAGAACAAGTATGAAAAATTTCACCCTGGCAGGCGAAAGACTAAGCAAGCTGAGAGTGACTGAACATAAGGAATTAGAATAGAAACTTATTTATGATTTACCCTTGTAGTTCACAACCAGCATCTTTTCTATCCTGTCAAAAGTCCAAGTGGGTCACAAATTATGTAAGAATATATAATTTTCATACACAATCACATTCATCTGCTTCTGCAGTGGTTAAGTGGACATCACAGCACAGAACAGTCTATGACAAAATGAAGATGAGAGATTCTGAATCAGGAAACAAATGCCCCCTGGAACACATACAAACACTCATGCAGATCCTGAACAGGAACTCTGCATTTAGTGTCCAAGAGTTACCCCTGCTAAGTGAGGTGGTGAAATCCTATGCAGGAAAAAATAATACATGACCATCTTGTTAAAGATAGTGGGTATGCAGAGAGAGGCAATCAGGCAAGGACAGCCATCATTCAAAGCATTCATGCAATTAACAACTTCAGGACTTTCTTAGCATTTGAATACCTGATTTAGCAGGCGTCTTTATACTCTTTTACCGTAGAAGATGTGAGGAAATAACTGCATCCCCTTAACTTTACTGAGGTACATTTTATTATGATGAACTCTGCAAAGTGCTAAACACGTGCTTAAAGCCTGAGGCTGCTTTTTCCCCCCTGTAACAACAAATAATGAAAGTTAGGATTTAGGATTTAGTCTGGCCTAACAGTGCTGAGGTTGAATGTGTGAATAAACTAGAATGTGCCTTAAGGCAAATACAGCTTTGGGCTTTAAGCAAGTGTTTTGAGAGTCCCGAGTCCTCTCAGTATTTTCTAGATCATACCCATGGATTTATAGAATTAGGTCCTACACACAAGCCAACCTTGTACTTGCAGAGTTTGAATGCAGCAGGGCAGAATGCATATGTCAGTGCACTGAGCAGCATTTGGAAGGGTCTCTAGTTCTAAACAGAGATTTCATTTAACATTTCTGAATCCGAGGATCTCTTTAACCACTAAAACCAGCCAATTGCAAAATGGTGCATGAAAGGTGACTGACTGGGAAAGGTGATGAGCGCTGACGGCTTTGGCAGATTGAAATATGACTCAACTGAACCTATGAAATAGTTAATAAAGCATAAATGCGCAAGCTGTTATCGAATATTAAACCGAAAAATCCTCAGAAGGGAGATAATTTTGTGCAAAGGTTTCTAAAAGTTTGCATCATTGGACAGCCTCCTTCTAAAATCAATGGCAACACTGGTGTGGGAACCAGCTTTGTGTACATTTTTAGTGCTACGCATTACCAGGATGTTGGTCCAAAAGACGTTTCCCTAACTCCCTGCTTTTCAAAGTGCTCAATGAGCAACAATTTTCTTCCTCACTGCAGTTAAGCACAAGATAACCATGCTTCAGATGTGGATCCTGTTAATACAGCAAGGAGTTAGACTTGTAAGAAAGACCACAAATGGTCTGGTTTTATTTTTAGTTCAGAGATGAAGAAGTTCCTACCACTCCTATGGTGCTATGGGGTCCTTTTAACACTGCAGGCTTTTCCTGCATAGATGAAATTTCTAGAGATCTTAAAACAGGCATTTTGTACCCCAAAACACACTTTTGAATTAATGGATTGCACTGTGTATCAGGAAAGCAGAAGTGCAAAAGGCTTTTTAAAATTTTCAGCCTCTAGGTTTTCAACCACGGAGACAGAAATTAGACCAACTTAGAGCTTTCAAAATTTATTTTTGGTACATTTTCAGATTAAAATGTTATTCTTTGTATTTATGTAATTGATTATCAGTGTTCAACAAGGTAAAAATTGCCTTGATACCAGTTTGTATCAATTACACTTTAGAGCTTACTAGAAGCTGGTTATCCTTATCCTTGCATTTTCTTTCTGCTCTGGAAATTCTATTTCTTACTTGTCATCATGCGTTGTCCCACCTCTGACACTTCAGCTACTGGAAAAGCCCTTGAAGGAATGAAGCTTTGGTACCAGGACAGCCCTGGGTTTTCTGTACCCTGCACTCCTTAGCCTTGTGGCAGTGCCTAACCATGAGCCTGAGATGTGCCACCTCCAGCAGGAACCAAGCAGAGAAATGAGGAAGGTGGAGGTGGAGTAGCTGCAAATGGTTTTCAATTAGTGGGTCCTTCTTTGTCGCTGTAAAGAGAAGGGATTAGAGGCAGGTCACAGGTCAAGAGATAAAACCTCCTGAAACAGGAGCTTAGGCAGCACCTTGCTGGGCAGCTGGTGGTCTGGGAGCACCACTCTGCAGCTGCCTGGGGTGGTGTGTGCCTCGTCCTTAAAAAAAGAAGAGAAGGGGCAAAAAAAAGGACAGTGTGGGGCAAGTGGCTGGAGGTGAGACAGCCGGCGTGACTCACCATGGCGAGGGGAGCTCTCTGTGCCCTGCTGCTGCTGCTGGCCCTGCGCTGCGGCCCTGGGTGGGCAGGGGAGTTCTGCCATGGCTGGGCTGCCAGCCCCCAGCGCTGGCACCGCGGCTTCCAGTGTCCTGAGCGCTACGATGTCCCAGAGGCCACTCTCTGCTGTGGGACCTGCAGCTTGCGCTACTGCTGCTCATCCAGAGAGGCCCGCCTGGACCAGGGCCGGTGTCCTGGTGACCATCAGCAACCCAGCCCCAGGCCCCCAGTGCCAGGTAAGCTTCCTGTGCCTCTAGCTGGTGGAGGGGAGTCTATCAGACGTGCTTTCTTCCTTGCATCCTCTGTAGCATCCACCTTCCCTTGGTGGCATCAGCCAGATCCTTCCTCTGTTTCTCTGCCCTTCAGAGCTGTGAGCTGTAACGATTGTGCCCTGTCACAGTGCGTGTTTTGGTGGGTGCATGGGCCAGAGCCACCCCGTTCCCTTCACTGGGAAGAGGGAATAACTTGAGGCTTCACTCAGAAGGCTTTTCTGTCAGTCCTACTCTTGGAAAAGCCTCTAAGCTACTAACAAAGTCATCTGGTAACCCCTCTGGTATTGCTGGTGGAACAAGTGTGTTGCTAACCTCTTAATGCATGTGGATGCCTCAAGTCATCCATTTGGTCTGAATATCTGGCTTGTAAAAATGCTTGTAGTCCTCAAACCCAGATTCTATAGGCAACCCAACAGCAGTTTAGGTACTAACTCGGTTACAGGTCATGCACAAGTGAGCAGTAGCTGTGACATTTGAGTACTGGAACAGCTCTTGCATGGATATTGATGGCAGATGGTACAGGACTGACTGGTCTGACCCTCTGCACTTCAGGCTTTTTCAGATGAGCCTGCCGTAGCAATTGCCAGTTTCTAATCCCCTTGCTGCAGCAAGAGAAGAGTTGAGAGTAAAACGACTACACCTGCTTCCTGGTGCATGCAGGACTCAGGGAATGAAGAACAGAATGTACCCATGAATGAGCAGTTGGCTAATGTCACTCTTCCATTTCCAGTGCCCGTGTACCTGCCCTTCCTTCTTGTTGGATCTGTATTTGTGGCGTTTGTTGTTGGCGGTGCCTGCGTTGGAATTTGCTGCTGCAAGTGCTTAAAATCCCAGGATGAGGAGCAGCAAAGTGGACTTGCACCTGGCCAGACTTGGCTACTAGAACCTGATCTTCCTTCTCACCTCTCCAGTTCCAGTTCTGCCACCAGAAGCTCACTGAGTAGTGGTCCTCAGACCAGCAACATCTGCATGACTCTAGCTCCATCTCTTCCTATTATTGGGTTGGCTGAAGACGCTCGGTTCTTAAGTCCTCCACCTACCAGTGGACAACTCTTGCACCCTCCACACGGTAACCACAGAACAGCAACTGTTCATGCCACAACAATGGCTCCAGCATCTTTCCTTAAAAGAACAATTTATGGACACGGTGCTAACGCATCCCCTCTTGGTGACCAAATGATGTACTCAGGAGTTCCTATCTGAGAAGATGCCAGACACATCAGCATACAGCCCGAGTTGGATGCTACTTCACTATTATAAAAAGTTCTTTGGGACTGAAATGAGGACTTTTAAGTGCTTTATGCTATTTGGAAGTGCATCAATTTTGGCTTTTTACAGCTCTGATGGTGATGTTTTAGAACTTCTTTTAGGTTCTTGGCTAAGATTCTGAGGCCTGTTCAAGGAATGACTGAAACCGTAGAAATGAGTTTCACCCTTCCCTGGTCCTTTCAAGCTGCCATACCATGCTGTAGGGACCATGGATTCAATTTCTGTAGCTGTGTTACTTCTCAGCAACTGAGGACAGGGAGGAGCCTTACTGGAGTTATTAATTGTAGACACTGGACAGTCTGTAAAGCGCAGGGAGACTGTACTTCATCTACACACTTCTACCAGTTAACTGATGCAAGATGGTAAAACACCGCTGCCTGTGACTCACCTGCCCCTGATGAACTAACCTGGTGCTGCTAACGGAGCAACTTCCAGCCCTAATTTCAGTAAAATGTACATTTAGTACAGATACCAGGAGGAGATAATAAAACAATGTATGTGTTTCTCTCTTCCAGTGGCTTAGTGGTCTTTTTTCTTTCTTTACATAACTGGAGACTTCATATGGATGAAGAATTACAGGGTAAGATAGAAAAAAAATAAAGACCCCAGTCAATTTTCTGTGAATACGCTGGAAAAGTTGCCTACTTGGACTCCTTGTTAAGATGCATGCTGCTTGACTGCAGCCATCCCCTTCACAGCAGGACCCTGATATGAAGAAGTTGTCAAAATATACTACTTGCTGCTGGAGTGTTTTAACACCTCCTTACAGCACAGAAACCTGATTATACCATGAAGGTATGTTCAAAGGACTCCACAGGTGTCACCAGCAGGAGCAAGGGCCAAGGCTTAAAAATCTTATGAGAGGTAAATGCCAAAGCCTTTCCCACGTTAGTAATGCCTATCAAAAAGAAAAGGGGTAAGATGCTTGGAGACTTTTAAGTCAATGAGACCACTGTACTTTGTAAACAAATGTATGACCTTACACTACTTTATATTACTTCAGAATGTTACATCTGAATTCTGGTGAGCAGTAATGCTTATTCTAAACACACATCTCTCCCAGTGCCCTGGTTTGTAAGGGCAAGCTGATATATCTGGGTAACTTCCTGACTCTTTCATGGGTGTGAATCAGAAATTTCACGGAACTTCGCTGTGACTCAAGTTTACTTTGTAAGTTCCTCTTAAAATTGGAATAAGTATATAAGGATGAAAACAGAATACCCTAAAAATAAAAGCTTCCCCAAAATACGTGTTGTACACTTGTTTTACTGCTGAAAAATAGTAAGTTAGGGCTGCTAGAAATATACTGTCTTGAACTTAAAAGTGTTTCCCTTGTCACAGTCAGTGAAAGGTCACTGGGATTTATTGATAACTATGCCAATAAACAGTATCACAGCTGGAATGATGGTTTTTAAAGTTAGGTTTTAAACTTGTATTGCCGAAAGCACTTAGAAAATGGTTACTTTTTTATAAAGTAACTGTTGTTTGCAGTTGGCTTAGGAAAATCTGTGGCTGAATGGAGTAGTTTATCTGGTTAAATGTCCAATTTTGCTAGTACTTCATGACAAAAACTTGTGCCAGTTCAGAGACAAATGAACAAAATCCTTCCTGATGCTCTTTGTTCCGGGAAATACAGAGCAACTTGTGTCACACTTATGCTGTTAGGAAGATATATTTTATGCTTATCAGTCTCTGGCATTAGAAAAGGAGAATAGGTGGTTTTATCAGCCAGTCTCTACTAAAACATGATTATTCTCTACTATAGATCTTCTGACCAAGAAAGGTAAAGGAATATGTGAGCTGATAGTCAGTACACTTAAGCCTCGATCTGTAGTGCATATAGACCTCCTGTCAACTTCAACAGAAATGGAAAGCTTTCCAGGAGGCAGCTTCAGGATAAGGTTTTAAATTAAATAAGAAACTGGAGAAATAGCTGTCCTGATACCATAAAACTGAAAAAGGTCAAGAGGTTCACATGTAACACTAAAGAATTAAAAGGAAAAAAGCTGATCAGAAGTGAGGAACAGAAAAGCTAAATGGTTTTGTGCATGCTGCCTTAATTGCTCTCTGGTGAGGATTAGCAGAGTGTTTGGGGTCAGCATTACCTTCCTCTCCCCCACGTTCTTCTGTGTATTCCACAAGTTAAAAAAACCCCAAAAAACCCCCCAAAAAACCCAAAACGGAGAGAAAAAAAAAAAGGCAAAGGGGGTTAACTGAGCAGACGCTCACTGGCAAAGCTAGAATTGGGATCAACTGGATTTTCTGTACCCCTATCACAGTATTTTCTAAATAGTTAAAACTAATGTTTGCAACAACAAAGCCAAGCTCAATATTTCAAGGGTTCAATATTTCTTTTCAAAATTGCAAAAAAGAAAACAAGAAGTAACCAATTTGTTGCACTCCAAGGCCTGGAGAGACGTTTTTTGTAAGAACCATTTGCTTAAGATCTTCCATCAAGCACCATTGTAAACTCGGATTACCTTGGTCTCAATTAGCATCTGCATTAAAATCAGATCAACTCATGTGGGGACTAAGGGAAAAGTACAGAGTATTTTTTATGTAAATTTTATCCCTTTACTAATTTGAGGAGCCTTGCTACTGAGTTTAGCACATCTTTAGCTAGACGGGATATGTTCATGCTAAATCCCTTTCTTCTCCCCTAAACTGCTTTTCCTGGCTCAAGCTAAAGAAGAAGTACTTAGCAGAGACTAATAGTCTACTTACCATCCATTGTACTAGGTGCTTCGCTTTGTTTGCATAATGATGCCCTCATCCCATTCCTCTCAACTTCTAATTAAGAAATTATTTACACTCTTTGCTTCTTAATCCTCAGTAATGACAGACGTGATGGGAATTGTTCTTGGTGTGTTCTTTCTAGATTTAGGGAGAAAGAATTTCGTAAGAGATAAGAGTGGAAAAGGAGAAGATGACAGCTTTAGCCTGAGAGAAGGGGGTTGGAACTGGATGAGCCTTAAGGTCCCTTCCAACCCAAAACCATTCTATGATTCTATGATTATTACTTGAAAAAATGTACCATATATATTCAGGAGCAGAGAAGGTGCTCTGGAGGCAGCTGTCGAGGGGAGCAGGCGGTGCAGCATCTCTCCTGTCACACAACAGGCAGTATTTGCTACGCCAAGCAGTAGTTTTTTACACATTACAGCATTGTCTTCTTAAATCTTTGATTTCTCTGTTGTTCAAATGAAAATATGGTTTACAAGGTATCCAAATTAGTTTTGAAATGACAGTATGTATAGATACTGCTTAGTATAGCTCCTAGAATTCCAGGGGTCTTCAGATCTCATTCTCTGAACCCCTTGGCTTAGAAAACCAGGCCCTGACATTCAGTATAAAAGAATCCATACACAGAGACTAGAAACTATTACAGTAAACAGATGGCTGCTTTTGATTCCCTCCAGAAGAGAACAGATGTGGTTGCAAGCACAAACATATGCATTCACCCAAATTAATCATAATATTCATATGAAGTTTATCTCACAATTTATCTCAAATACATGAATTAAATATTCTATTAATGTTTTACACGCTGTAGGTCAGCATGCTTTGGCTTTGAGACTGACTTCTGCAATAATGAAGTTAACATAAAATTGCATCCTGGCTGTGAGACAGTGCCTTCAAGCAGATATTTTTGTCATGTTTTTTATGATAAATTTGATAATTTTCATGATAAATTTGTCATGTTTTTTACAAAGCCAAGTCAAACCAGAATAATCTAACAAAATTAAGACCTGGCAACAAAACAGTTGCAATACAAACTATCATCAGGTATGTAACTTAGAGCAGGACTTCAGGAAGGTGGTGGATGGACACAGCCTTGGGATTTCTTTAACTATGAAATCAATTAGGATAGTACTTCATGCACAGGTGATTTTTCCCCCGTATAAATAGGAAACTATAGCAAACAATCCCTTGTTAAAGAAATGTGATGGATAAAAACCAGATTAATTGGTGAAAATGTTAATTCAGGGAAAAGTTATACTTTTCTATGCCTGTATAAAGACAGTCTAATTCAGCCAGGGATTACCAAAGTCATTACCAATTAGTTTCCTGTATGCAATTCATCTGATGGATTTTTTGTTGTTCCTGATAAGTATATGTTTTTCTCTGATGATAACAGCCTCATTCCTCAGCTCACAGACTAGCTTTTCAGCTACCCAGGAATGACATACATACCTCTTGCTAAAATAGTTCTAAAATCACAGGATAACATGATCTGCTGTATGTGGATATTGTTATAAGAATTTCTTGCAATTGTAAACCTTTGCCATACTAGATAATACCAGAAATGTTAAATAACTCTATTACTGCACTGTGATACTGGTCTTATGTCCTTTGCATTTCTTTATCCACTCCAGGGGATTACTGGTCTCTGCTGGGTGATACCTCTGGAGTTTTGCCTCCACTCCTCTTGCTTCTCCAACTCCACCTGTGTGGTCTCCCTGACACAGCAGTGAAGGGGGGCAGCCCTGCTCCCTCACTGGTTTTTCTAGTTACTGGGCTGAACACATCTCCCTTTACCCTTCTGGATATCCCACCAATTTCAAAAAAGTCCATGATGCTGCAATTCCAACTTTATGCACAAGTGAAAAGCCCTGTATCACTTCAAAATGTATGCACCCACTTGTTTTTTCGAAATATACTGTAAAATAAAAGTATTTGAAAATTATCTTCTACTATTGAACCACAAAGCACAGCAGCCAGGTTCCAGCCTGTGGCTCCTGGAAGCCAACAAAAGATATTCAGTGGCTTAATGACCCAACACAGGACAAAATGCAAAAC